TCCTCTTGATTTGATGATTTTTTTTGTCTCAGGAATTGATTGCATCGATTCTATTCTGGTTAGAAACTAATCATCTTATCCCCCTGCCATTCTGATTGTAATATTACGCACTTTCTCGAACTCCCTACGCAAAAAGGATGGAGGTGCCGATGTTGCTTGTGGACCTGAATGGGACATGTGTTTCAAAAAAGAATCCGAATGCTTAAGCGATAACTTACTGCTTATAAGAGAACGCTAATTGCATGCGTGACTCCATGCGGTTTGAAACATGTTCCTGTTATTCTCTATTTTTTATTTCACCACATCGAGTAGAAAAAAAATAGCTAATAGAAACAGCGTTTCAGACAATTCTAGGTTTGTTGGAGTGAAAGTAAATTCGAACCATATACAAATCCTTATGAATATGTCAGTTGGGTTTACGATGGCGTTGTGGTAATTGTGATACATGGTGTGAATTATGCTTGTGATCCCTGAGGACTTCCAATCCTAGGCTCAGAAGCATAAAGGCGAAAGAATCCGACGACTATCAATCCACTGCACTTCTCCGACTACTGCTTTCTTGGCCGTCTTTGTTTCATAGAATATTTCTTACTTTTCGTAGATTGCTGTTTTTTATAACCAGCCTTATGATTGATGATAAGCATAGTGCTCCTAGACATCAGTAACTGCGTCGCTGTGATTTGGTGCTCATCAGCTTCTATAACATTAATGTCGCCCATAGTGATTGGAAAAGTTCATGCATGCAAATAAGGGCGACAGTGAGTGGAATAACATGACGAAGCTAGTCATCTCCAAAGCCTTCCTTTTTCCTCTCAATCTCATCATGGGCAAGGAATCGATGCGCCGGTATGAAGGAAAAGAGTAGGACATAGCTGCTTGTGGCTAGTGTTCTGCTACACTTCATATTCTATACTACATCAGTTAACACACACACCCAAATATGTATATACTTGTATATATCTGTGTACATATAAATTTACGTACATGAATATGTGCATACATGTGCATATCATGTATACGTTTATATGTGTTCAAATGTGCTTGTATACGTATACTCTCATATGTGCATAATATATACATATATACACACTTATAAACAAATGTGTACGTAGATACAGGCGCGCACATATGCGTGCTATGCCCACATGCTTGCTTGTATACAGACATACGCATATTTATACACTAACGGAATGCTCTGGTAGCCTTTGTCCAGCGACTAAAATTTGTTATACAGCGATTGCATTGAGTGCAATCCATTTCGCTGCACAAGTCTTGGAGCACCACCCACTCAGTGATGGTTCTCTGAACCGATATTTCCATAGACATGAAACTAACAACTCGCAGTGATCTGACTTATGCTTCGGCTTTATTAAATTATCTCTTGCACGAGTTCTTGGCGATCGCGTTAAGCTTAGTAGTTACCATTCTGTACCATAGCAGAAAATAAATTCCTCTACCCAACTGTTTTCATTCTTTCCATCGGTGGTCTAAGTAATAACCTTCGAACATGTCATAGCAGTGTTATCTATATATTTTCTCAGATTTTCGACTTTCAGCGTTTATTTTTTGAATTACATCATCCAATAGCGAGTTGCCCTACTCTGAACTTCCCTTGGTTAACAATGATTCTGTCGTAACCACGTTTATGCCAAAGAAAAACGCTTTCTGCAAAGCTATAGCAACAGTTCTGTTTTCATAAAATATCAGTTCACAAATTACACTGCTTCAGAGCATTACATAGGTTGAAAGCTTCACTTGATTCCAGTGTTTTTCTTCACCGGACAAGTTTTCTATCTGAAGGTAGATAATCAGATAGTTTGCCAGTATTTATTTGTTTTCGAAAATCACTACAGGAATTCTTTCTCTATCTATGGGTTTTTCACCAATATGAAATTTTTCTTTTGGAAAAAGTTAAGATGCTGGCTTGTTGTCACAACCTTGCATTCGTGATAATGCGACAGAATAAAAGCACGGCCTTCCACTCAAGGCCAATAACGGCTGTGGTCTCCTATTGCCGCCATCGAGATTAAAATATTAAACGCACTTTCAATATGCTTTATGGAGCTGGCGACTAAATGGAGGCAATAAAACTAACGTTCGACAAGCTTAAACCTCACACTGCTGAGCAATTTCCGATGAATTCCCGCCATGCCCACATTCACGCTGTTCACGTTGTCATTAGTTGTTATAAGAACACGACACTAGGAAGAACAAAACCAGTAAATAACACGTAATAGAATGATTGCAACGTTTTCTCGAAAACAGCTCAATCTCTTTAAAAGTAATTCCTTCAACTTTTTGTGATGTAGTGACGCGGTACAGCAACGATTCCTGGTTGTGTCAATAGATAGCTATCAACCAGTGCTTAATGTTTGCCTATCACACACCATTATATCTCTTCCAAAATGGAGCCTTTCAAAACATATCATCATCGCATCTTCTGCACCATCTTCATACATTTTTATCTCATCACTCTAAGAAAGCCTTTATTCTCCTAATTTTTCCCTTTTTGGAATAAATGTCAAAGTGATTCATGCAAAGCACGTCTTACCTTTGTGTTTTCTTAGATATCTATGTGGTTGATATCACTTACGATGCATGTTTAAGCGCGTTTAATCCTCAGCGTTCTCTAGAAGACAAAGCGATTATAAAATGCACTTTTGTATAAGAATAAGACATGAACGGACCACATGTTTGAGCGTTCCTCTTCAGTTAATGAAATATAAGCCTTAAAACAAACAAGACTGGTTTTGTCTAAAGTATCTAGCAATTGGTGTGAAAACTCAGGCAAATGTACACGACCATGACAACTCTATCAACAACACTCGACTGTAATCCTCTCATTGCAAAGCTGGAGGCTCAACAGGTTGTTGTGTCTGTCGGTGGCCACCAGCACCAAATGACCACCGACTATTGCGAATTAACAACAACTAGTTATGTTTGTCACATCGACTGTTTCTCACATCACTGCTATTGCTCACTCACCATTTATTCCTCATGAGTCAAAGTGGAATATTTATCGTGCTGCAAAGTACCTGAACTTATTAATATTTTTGGGACGAGACATTTTTATAAGGTCAAATGTTGTAGCTCCAAAGAAAACTGAGCGAGTAGTTTTGTTCTTGCTGCTCGGACATTAGTAACAATTGTTATTCGTCAGCGTAAACAGAAAACACAAACGTGGAAATCCATTAGTGGTTGCCAGTTGACAGCAGTCGTTTCTATAGAACCACCGAAACGCTTTACATCGATTCATTGTAGCCATCTTCGGCTAATTTGCATATTTCGGCACAGCAGCTTCATCACCATTCAGCAGCTGCAGTTGGTGGTCCTCTAAATAGAATAACTCACGAACTACGTGGTGGGCCTTCAACTGTCGACAGACACTCAAACTTTCGATACATGTTTCAAAAAACCGCTTCGGACTGTGCTGCTATTGACTACTCTCCTTTTTTCTTCCCTAATCACCTTTTGTCCAAAGCGGGCATAATCAGCCTTTGACGATTATGCGATGATCTTTAGATCAATGAACACATTGATTAACATCTTCCGTTCGGTTAAGCGTTGTGCGCCAATTAGTTGTTATGTGTGAATATTTGGCATAGATAGGCTTGCCATTATCATTAATATCACTTGAAACTACAGTAATACTATTGTTGGATTCAATGACTAAATAAATAAAAGTGTTGATGGTGATGATCAACTCGCTGAGCAGTCGATTCTCGTCGAATTTGTGACTCGAGACAGTTGTTCATCGCATCGTTAAGTGGTACGAGGACTAGCAGCGACTACTGACCCACGTTTTCCTCCAGTCTTTCGTTTTTGCATCCATCGACATCTCGTGCCCTCGACATTTACGACCGTGGTTAACAAATCAGCTGGCTATCGATCAGGCGGCGGCCGACCAAAGTTGGTTTTTCGAGTGTGTTGGTCGCTCTTTCCGTCCGCCATCCCTCTTCACTCAGCGCCTCCTTTACTCTCCATATTCTGATAGCTTTCGCCACTACACAAACACGCAGTCGTCTGAACTAGTAGTGGTCGACATCGTTCACATTCTATGCTCGCTGTGCCATTATGAGATTCCGCTCATACCATCGGCCCAGAGTTCCAATTCTTAATCTTAACCGATGATCTGCTTTATCGCCTATATAACATCCAAACCGTCGCTACGTAAGCGTCCTTTTTCTGCCTGGCTTTACAATCCCTCTATATCCTCTATATCCGTTTCCCTCTTTTTTCCTCTCCATTTCCCTCTCTCTCCCTCTCACTTCTTCCAATTGGCTGGCGCTGTGTTCGGCCTGGATGGGGCATTGGGTCGGCACAAACGGATCCTTGGGGAATAACGAGGTCAGTGGAAATATGGTGTGCCATCTAACCCATTTATTTCCATAGAGCTTTAGTACAAATTCTTTGCACCCTGCAGAATTGGTTATCTAACACATTTCTTATTGTTTTGTCGAATTGGCTTGTTATGCGATAGTAATTTGACTGCATATTCTAGAACTTGGTACCAATGATACCGAACTCGATTTGGTTTTTTTCTTGTTTCAAACTCACCTTGTACTTTTCACCAATTCATCTCCTTCTCCATACCTCAGATTGATTACTACTTTTCTTTGCCGGTCCAATGGACGAGATTACTTTGGAAGCAAATACTGACAAAGCACATCGGAGCACAACCACTCCCCTCTTCTCAGTGATTGCTCCTTGCTCCGCTCTAACTTGACTGACTTTTTGGTAATCTTCCTCTTCTGAACGTTGTTTGAAGACTTGCTTTAATTGATGGAAATGCCTCTGTCCGGTGTCCGTTGCCAAAAGCAGTGAGGCGCATTATTTTCCTTAATTCTGCTTTTCGAAGAGATGTGGCGCGCAGCTGCGAATTGGTCGTGTTCGCGTGTGCATGTGTGTATTGCTCGTCCAATCAATCACAGTCAGTTGCACTAACAATTCGTGTATTCGGTTTATTAGGCAAATTTTAGAAAGTTTTTTCCATTTACAGAATGGCAGGGAAAAGCGTGAATCCGAATTCGGAGAGAGAAAGGCCATTTCGTTTCGATCCCGATGATCCTGACTACATCAAGGATTTGCAGCGCCCAGCTGTCATCAAGGTGTGTGCATCAATTTCTTTCTAGTGACAAGTTCATCATTCTTCTATCGGTCATACTTCCCACCTTTTATGATACCATAAAGCTTGTGAAATCGCTTTCTTAGGTTTAGATTCAGAGGCTTTCGACTATAGGTGTGTTATCTATGGGTGTATGTAGATATATATGTGTGCTATTGTTGTACTTGCTTAATTTTTTGAAAGCTTCTGACCGAGCCATTATTTCTGGAATTTTTCGGCAGAATCATGGTTGATGATTCCTGAAGTAAATTGGTGCAATATGTAGTTTTCAGGAAGACCTCACAGAAATGGAACGACGAAAGCGAGTGCAGCAGCTGTTGGAGTCTAAGAGTTTCTGCAAAGAGTTAGAGGAGGTGCGGTAGAATCTAAATGTTCTTTGAAAGTGATCGGTAGTTACCAATGCTTTTCAGGTGATCAGACAGGAGTCAGAAAGCAATCGTAGTGATTCTGAGCATCTAAAGACAATACAGCGGCTTTCCGAGCTCACTCTTCCCAACAGTGCTATGTCATTTGCTAGTTTGCATTCTCTTGGTGAGTAGGTCTTTATTATTCCATGTATTCCAGGCTTTACATGAATGCTTTGTGGATACCTTTTCTTTTACCGTTGTCCCTTTTTTAAAAGATTTCTGGATCGCTATGATTAGGCAACCAACACGAACAGATTCTTTTGGGCTTTCTGGGCATGTAAATATAACGCTTATGATGCCGCTGCGTTTAATGTCGATTGCCAGAGAAGGGGAGGCAAGAGTTTAGCGGCGGTGAACCTCACATATTTTCGCATTTAGTTGTTCATTGAATTCGATGGTTTTGATCGTTTCTTTGTTAACAGCGTCGTCAGAAACAAGAATTGCCGCTCTGATCTCACTATCGAAAATGTCTGAAATTCATAAACTGCCACAACTAGAAAAAAATTTGAGAGGGGACCAAGTCGACTAACACTCAGAATTTCCAAGAGGAACTTATTTAGACCTGTTTCCAATTAAGAGCCAATTAAGTGTAGTAGCAGATTTTTCCACTAGTTTTTCCCTTTTTCTGTTGCAAAAGTTTTCTAGGAGATTTCACTAATTCCTAGGCAGTTTGTGGAGAGTTTGCAGTCTTATTTTAAACAGTGGTGTCGTTTACTTTGTTTAGATCCATGCATATATATGCTAAATTTTTTTTTGGGTAACAGTAACTCGAAGCTCCACTGTGAAAGCTCAGAATTGATCATAGGGTTGCCTACATTGTTCTGGGATTTATGTTTTTTTGTCGCACATCTGCCTTTCTTGTTTTTTTTTGAAGTCCTTTCGGTTTTCCAGTCGGTAGATATTTCTTATAATAGCCGTTAACTAAGCCTTGAATTCAATTGTTTCCTTTAAATCATAGCTAGTGTTATAAGGGTAAGTGTGCTCATCTCATTTTCCTTTCTATATACTTGGTCATTATGTTGATTATGTGAGCCATCTGCACCTTTTTTTTCTGAAGATTCAGCAATTGGTCAGGATGACGCTTTGGGAGATCTCAAGAAAAGTTACCTCAGCACTGCAACGAAAAAAAATCGATCATCCAGCAATGCACCAGTTTCGATACTGCACACACGGGGTGGTCTCGTATGCAGTGTGGAGTGATGAGAAGCACTGACATACTCCAAGTTTACATAAACCATCTTTAGAACCGGATCAAGGCTATGCATCCATGGCACCTCACGAAGACTGTTTCTTGCTACATATCTACAACTTGAGCGCAGTCCATGCAAACGGCGGTCTTTGTGTTTGTCACGTTGACAAAGCAGTCCTGAAGTCCATGTCAATGTCGTAAATTCTTACTGTGAGGGAAGCGATCTGTATTGAAGACCGCTTCTACGAATTTCTTCTTGGATACTTCAATGTCGGAGTAGGTAGGACCAGTGTAAAGAGATACAGTATCAGAAAAGTTTGGATAGGAAGCCGAGACAATAGCAAATCGTCTAGCTGAGCTCCTTTCTATGATATTCCACTTAATTAGAAGTTTTTTTTTTCGAGAACATGGTGAATGATCGCGTGGTGTGGCATTTCATTAGTACCTAGAATCGAGCAGAGATCGATGCTACACTCACAGGCAGAATGCTTGGATAATTTTATGCGCGTTCCCATCATTTGAACAAAAAGATGTGTTGCATGTGTTGAGCACCTTCTTGAAGAAATTTTATGCGTGTATGACTAACAAGTTAACTATAAAACGACCGAAGGTTGTTGATGTGCAGGGCAGAGTTCTCTTCCTCAAACAAGGAGTTCAACTCTTTTCCAACAGTTAGGTGTTACATTGGAAGAAATGATAACTGAAGCTTCCTTGGTCTTCAGAAAATCAAATTATATTGGCGTTCGCTATCTTATGAAAGCGAGTTATCTAAATGCCGGCATAATATTACCATGTACACTTTTTTTCCTTGCTCTCTATGAGAGCTAGGTGAACTTTTATAGTAGGTTCTAAAACACCTATCTCTCACTATATCCTTCTATCGTCGATATTTCTTTCTGTTTCCACAACATCTTCCTAGAGAATATGGAAAGACTATGGATGATCACCTAGCTCTTTCTGTCGTCCATTTATTGATCGATACTAGCTGATTCGTTGTTAGGAGTTTGCTCGTAGGCATTTACGTTTATGATCTTTAATGACTTTCTTAACACATTTGCGAGGAAGCTGCTTTTGACAATTGATAGTGACTTCCCAATCACTAAACAACTTCATCATCAGCTTATAGAAGAGGCTTTGCTCTATCGTTTTGTAAAGTGTTATTTTAATGGTAATGGAAATTGCAGTAAATTCGTTGGTAGATTCCTCTGACATTTAAGTTTCAGGAAAACTGATAGCGTAATACCAGGAATGAGTGCGTCTCATACCTGCTCCTATGCTTGCTCATACTTTACTCCTGCTTCATTAAAGCTTTTACTTCATTTTAGTCAGTAATGAGAGCTGGAAATACTCAAATGTTTCCTTCTGAATTCCCACTCTTAAATGCGTACCTCAAATTGAATGCAATGCCAGTAATACTGAAAGCGCTGAGCTGGGTAATTTTGGATTCGCACTTTCCCTTCTGCATGAGCATTTATTAAACCTGAAAAAGTTCTACGGCTTCTAGCCAAAGCTGCCGTGTATGCACTTTTCCGAAAAGTATAATATATAATAAAAAATTAAATAGAAAAAAATCAAAAAGGTCTTATTTGGGACAGATGGAACTAAATAACGCTTGTCGTGCTGCTCCCTGTGAGAGTGAGATACACTTCCTTTCCATCCCTAGCATTCAAGGTCTAACGCGAATTGATTTCCACTTGTACACTGCGGAAATACTAGCCGCTTTCAACGTTAAATCAACACTTGTCAGTGCACAATATGCTTTAAAAATTGAGATAGGAACAGTTAGCATTTGCAGATATGCGCCGGAAGGATACATGTTTGCTTTTTCTACGACGATGAAATTTTAGTTATATGGGACCCAGAAATCGTATTTTTGTCACTTTTATGCTCGACAATCTTATTTCGAATACCAGTTTTTTTTTCGAATTGCAAATTGAACAAGCGGGTTTTGGTCCAGCAGAACGCATTATTGTCCTCTATTGTTTCAGTAATGCTGGGTTACTTACTGGGTTTGTGCTAGAAGTTTCAGATATTTAAAATTCGTTCTCCTTTTTTGGAAATTTCTATTTTAAACAACATAGTTTAGTTTGGCTTAATTGGATGCAGCGATTCACTTTTATAAATTTATTAACTCTTCGGCTTCTCGCTCACTCTAGTTATCGAAAATTCGTAATAGCTGTCGAGGAACCAGCTTTGGAGCCCAAATTTTAATCACGATTTTAATCGTCCACCTTGAACTTCATTAATGAAAGTATGTTAACAGTAAGACACTTCTATAGGCTGTCATGTTGTCGGGGTTCGATTTCGATAGTCCTCAGGCTCTTGCGGTCCTCCACCCACATGCAAGGAATGTTTCTAACATTTCGGGTTTCTATACTCTTCGTCTATCCATCTGAACTCGATGTCTTATTTTTCTTCAAAGATCTTCTTAAATTTTCTAGAAGGCTATGTTAAATTTATTTAAATTTGCGCAAGAGCACATCTTAGTATCATGCGAGTACACATCTGAGTTTCAGACGGTACCAAACCATTTTTCTTCCTATTTATTATTTCTGTGAGATATTCGATGTGTGCCATCATCAGTAAGTAATATGAGGGTTCTTCTAAGCATATAAATCATTTAACCTTTTCATTGCTACATGCCGCGTTGCAACGGAATGTTTTATTCTTGCTAGTACTAGTCCAACACTAGAAAATTGTTGGAAAAATACTTTTTTTTCAGGTGGATCTGCCATACCAATAGCTGATCTGAAGGGTAATGACAACTATACGAAACAAGAAAAGTTACTGAGGAATAAGCTCGCTTCACTGTATCGACTGGTAGATTTATTTCAGTGGTGCCAAGGAATATACAACCACATCACGGTGCAACAAAATTTTTCTCTTCGTTAAACTCTTGCATACAATTTTCTATTGTTTCAGCTACGCTTGTCGGGTGACGACAATCACATACTTGTGAATCCATTTGGATTACTATACCATGAGGTCACGGCTGGAAGCATTGTGAAGGTTAACTTACAAGGCGAAATCGTGGATCCCGGTACAACAAAACTAGGAATTAATCGGGTTAGATCTTGATTAGATGTTGGAAATTCTTTAATTAAAGTGATAGCTGATAGAAATGCCAAAAGTACCTACTTGGTCCCATGGCGTGCACTTCACGAATGGTGAACAGTTTTAACAATTGTTCATTTCAAATATAACAATACTTGTATGGAAATGCATGTGAAGTTGAATCCCCTGTATTGCTGTCATAAGGCTCTGTGTTTGTGGTGGAAGTCTGTCAACTTTTTTATTCTAGTCATTTAATTAAGAACTTTGCCTCATTTTAACAAGTAATTTTGGAGTTTTCTACGAAGTGGATTCATTTTTGAGGAGTTGGTTCGTTTAGAACTGAAAGTTTTGAAAAGACAGTGTGCGATTACGTGACATCTTCTAAGTCTTTGAAGAAATCACTCAGGTTTTATAGCAGGTGTTTTACTAATTGCAGGTAATTACTGGTACAAGGACTTCATTAGAAATAGGTATTAACATCGCGAATGAAGTGCAAATTAAATTATTTGTACTAACTCTTTGTGAAACAAGAAGTATACGACAAGTGCAGGAACTAAGTACGGATTATAAGATTTCTTAACGAAATTGGACTTGCTTTCTTAATAACTGTGGGTGCCCTACAATTTTTTGAGTTGTTTTATCGTACAGCATGGTAGAGGGTCAGTGAGCCTTCGAAATGTGGGAGTAATTTTGAAACTTCGTTAAGAATGAGGAACTTCTGACGGCCATCAGTATTTTAACGTATTCATTTTCTTCCAGTAGATAGTTCGATGAATAAATAGTCTTATCTCCAAGCAAGGAATTCCCTTCTACAATCCCACACATCTTTTTCAGAGAAGTAGTCTCAGGTTTGTTGATGTTTCTTGTTTATTCCGAAAATGTTTCAGTTTATGGAAGCCTACATTTTTCTTGAGCCAAAAAATATATTTTAGCAGGTCGCATGGGGTGGACATTGCTACCATGATTCATTGTTTAAATTAATTAGTAGTGCCTTCGACAGTCGAAACCATTACCTAGTTTTTCCAATACTTTTCACTAACTTGACTATTTGACTGTTTTCATGAATTGAGGTATTACTATAGTGGACAAGGTGAGTTTTCGAACTGCTCTGTCCAGTTTAAATTTGGTCGCACAGAAATGGGTATAACTTTAGCTATGAATAGAGTCCGTGGAGATGGTACAGTAGCGGACGAAAAGCCGTAGTAATTGTTGAAAATGCTATGAGATTTGATATTAGTCACTCAACGACATGAAACGAGCTGAACAATCTTCAGCAGTAGATCGTGACATTTTGGAGAAAATAGGTACGACTGTTCTTCGAGAAGTTGTTGTAAAGGTGACTGCTTCAGTATCTGGTCCTTGAACGGTTAAGATTCTGAGGATATTCATGAAAAGCAATAAACACATTTTCGATAGCTTCACGGATATTCAAATAAGCGTGGATATTGATTAACGACTGAATATTGTTCAGGAGGTCTGCCGACACATTCATTTACCGAATTGAACATTATACTGAACTTGCTTCTGTTATGACAGCAGAAAATGACCTTTTCAGTGGTTGTTTGTTCAGAGTTTCAAGGGCATCAAAAATAGAAGTCGCATCATAGAGAATAAGGAAACTAACACTTAGTTACCATGACCAGTAGATTCCAATGTTTTTTATTTCATTTAGTAAGGTCCACTATGAGCTGAGGTATTTATATTTAAAATGGAAGGTGTAATAATTTTTGAACACACATGAGACAAGGAAGACCAGCTTTCTAAATCACTCGCTAAGCGGCTAGCTAAGTTCAGAATTTTATTCATGCTTTTTTATATACTTTTCTGCATCGGTTAGTCATCGAGTTTGAATGCTAGTCTTTTCATAATTGCCACGCGGAATTTGGATCCGTTTGTGCCGAAGTGACCTTAAACATGAAAAATTAAACCTTTATCAATGGATAGAATACAAACACACGCTAATAAAGCGCCGTGATTAATATACAGAGGTTATATGAGGGATAAATAGCATGAAATGAGGGAAACGAATGATGTGCGAAGACTACATGGTAGTGAAGTTAGCGGTTAGGTGATATTGTTAAGACCTCACAGCGCAAGAAAGAGAGAATAATCTAATATAGTTGTTGTTGTGAAGATGTTCTGTGAAAAACTTGTGAGCGAGTGCAACCGTTCAGTTGTGCAATATGAGAATGAGAGGCTAATACCGATGTTGTGTTAGTCCAAAATGTTACAGTAACTGTGCATGAGTGCCGGTGCGATCGATATATAACCGTTACATGCGAGGTGTAAGATAAATAAAAATTGAGCTAAGTCAGTGGTGAATTGATTTAGTGACTTCTAGGATAAGTTATTAAGACTACAAAGCCTAAGAGAGAACAATCTAATGTAATCGATGTTCCACTACGGTGAGATATAGTTACATATCGGTAATGTAATGTTTCGTTAGGAAATGCATGCTTATGATAAACCGAAATCGCTGAGGCACAAAAGAGAAGGCTTACCGTGCCACTCGGTAGTACAAATAATGATGCCACGAAGGAAGTTAGGATTTTGGTATCCACAGCTGCTGACGACTACTGAGGGCCCATTAAATAATCCGGGAGGTTGTGTGGGCTTGGCTTCTAGAGGGTGTTTTGCATACGGAGCCACCACAGGAATCTCCACCCGGATGCGGTGCGATGTGAACATCTGCGCTAGCTGGCCATAATTCATATAATGGCTGGTTAGGAATTTGCCAGTCAAAAACAGTTATGCCTGAAATGACAAGTAATAACTATCCAGAGGATGGTTAGTGAATTTTCTTCGTGTTTTAATTATTGGGAAGTGGTTGCTCAGTAACATTTCAGAATCAAAAGAATATGGGCAAATGCAAAATATCTCTTTTTATTTTTTTCTGAATCCTATTTATGCAACAAAGATGTTGTTTAGCATATCTCTTACATGGATTTTACCATGTTCTTCATCATGCATGTGTTTACAGAACAGCTTTATGCTACACTCGGCGATCCACTCGGCTCGTCCGGACGTCCGCTGCATCCTGCACATGCATACGGCTGTCGTTTCGGCTGTGGCCAGCATGAAATGTGGTCTACTACCGCTCTGTCAAGAAGCCATGGTCATCGGACCTGTTGCCTATCACGACTATCAAGTAAGTCAAGCAAATTCTCTCTTTTCGTTAGTTTTAAATGTCACAATACTTCTAGTATGCACGAAATAGGTGTTGATTTGCAGAAATCAGTAGAACCTTTCCATATTAAGCTCATTAGGAAGCACACTTCGACATACATTGACATATTTATGATTCGAACAAAGAAGTATATCTTTAGGTTTTTTTAAGATGCATTGTAATTCATTATATATGGCTGGTACTGTTATCATGTAGAGATAAGCACAAACGAGACGCAGGAACGTGTTAGAAGTAATCAATTATCTCGAAGGCCATGATTCGATGGGATTTCATTTTGCAATGCCTGTAATGATGCCACTAGTTATGTGTGCAGGAGTAATATTTATCATTATTACAGGACCCAATATCACATGTGTTATCTATTTGAATACCAGCAGTTTTTGCACTCGGTTCGTTCCTTCGCGTCCATCATCCATGAAAGTCTTAGAACTTTTCTGCATGTAGCGTTCGTTGGCTGCTTGTTGAGAACCTTTGCCTTCGTCACGAATTTCGTTGAGTTCTAGATCTAGAGAGGAGCCGATTCTCCCTAGAATCCTGAAGTAGGTGTGCTAAGGCGTTCCTGCATGGATTTGAGGAAGTGCTTCTCTCTCAGACAAACGTGAGACCATTTTTCCAACTCCAGCGAGATGGAAGGCTTTGTATGCCCTGCTCAGCGCCAAGCCATTGCCTGTGTAGGTGTGTCGTCCATGTAATTAACGGAGTCACTGCCACTGTACTACCCGCTTCCATAATGCTATATATATATATATATATATATATATATGTGAATAAAGGATAAAGGATAAAGCTATCGGCGTTCATCAATCCCTGAGGGATGCGCTATGCATTCGACTTCATTAAGCGTCGTTCGAGGTGATTGAATGCATATCTGGCCTTTACAATGACTCGCGGTGGCCTGCCGATGTATCGAACCGGCACTGCTATCCTCCCAGACAAGTATAGTACCAATTTGCCGACCCCGGAGGGTTGGAAGGCTTGGTGGATCATGGGCGTGGAGATCGATTCAACGTGTGTGTCGCAGTGAAGCCTCCAACCGCTGCGCCACAAGCGGCCACATATATGTAATTATGCATAGCTTAGCCTACCTTAGCCTCAGCTTAACTGGGTTCTTTGCCAATTTGGGCTCCCCAGATCAATCCCGCTGACGGGTTATTACTGATGGCAGAGATCGATAGAACTAGCTGAGAGACAGGCGAAACGAAAGACCCGCATGCTGTGGTGTTAAATGCGTTAGCCCCCGGAAAGGACAATAGCGCGTTCGTTTCCCACCGCAGACACCTGCGGTCCAGAGTTTCGCAAATATCTCAGCATCATTGAAATTATATTTCGCAATATGCCATACCATTAACAAGAGTAGTCAGTAAATAAAACGGTAAAGATTATGCATATATATTTATATTGTATTGTGTGGCTCGTTGTTCCAATGTTATATTTTTGGTCCAAATTTTGCTACACATGTTATGTGAGGAAAATACATAAGGTGTAAGTATTATTAAGCATTATTAACGAATGAAATGTGTTTGCTTCACTAGATAAGCTGTACTGATTTTAGTCATAGATAAGGTGCAATTACGAGCACTTTTCTACTTCTCGATAGTTCCCACATTTAGGGATCGCTGAACGAAGAGGAAAGTCGCGAGTCGCTATTGAAGAGTCTTGGTGATAAAAACGTAAGTATTGAAACGATTATGAAGCATGATTTTTGGCACGGGTACGTAGGTGATGTGTGGCTGCCGCGTAAGTAATGTCAACTATGCACATTTATCGCTTTAGATAATGCTATTACGGAATCACGGATTCGTTGTGTGTGGACAGTCAGTCGAAGACGCTCTTCATCTTGCTTTTCACACGGTTGTTGCTTGTGAGACGCAGGCATGCTCTTTATTTCACTTTCCGGTGGAAAATAACTGCTTTCCATGTGTCGACGATAATCTGTGTTTGATTAATGGCTAAATCTATCCGCATCCTAATCGTTTCACTAAACGTACAGCCAATGATTGTGCAGTGACTTAACATTTATTGACCACAGGCATTTTATAAATCGCTATTTCTAGTGCACAGTTTCGCAAAACGCAGCAATTTCTTATGGCTTTCGTTCCATTATTTCTATAGAGCAGCTTATTAATCTCCTACAAAGGGTCTTCTTTGCAACTTGATGCTGTTCTTCATCTAATCTACCATAGTACCATAACACTGGTAGTGTGACTACCACACTGATTTCACATTCTTTATTACTTCTCGGGCTCTCAAACTTTCTTGCCAAAAGCTTTCTCATTAGCCAGTATCCGTGTTAATTAAAAGGACAGCTAGGAAGATTTTTTCGCTGCATATTAATGCGTTAGCAATTTTTATAGCTTTTTGATTCTACACGATATATTTTTTCAAGTATAGCTTAACACTTACACGACGTCGTGACCTCTATAATAGTGATGCGGTACGGCAATTGTGGCCGTTTTCAGCTTTAAATCAACATAACTAGGGTCATAGCGAAATTCGTCAGTCGCAGTAAAAACTGTTAGAATTTTCAGTTTCTGCCTACAAGTTGAATATTCTTTTACCTTGTTACAATGTTATTCTGACTTTCTTTAGACAAGACATGTGTTTCTTTCACTTTACTCTGTCATGTCTCGTATTTCGAGCATAGAAGAAAATGAACAGGATTCGTCCGATTTCACACGATGATGCTCCCCAGTGTATAGTTTATGTTTGCAGCTGCCATTCTTCGACTGAAAACTTGGGTTATCATATGTTGAAAACTTTGAAAACATAAACTTTGTCATTAATTGTTTAAAAGTTTTATTTTAAACATAATTAAATTTGAAATGGCAATGCGTGAGAATTATAGATGCGACGGATGTATAGGACGTTCTGTTCTATAAAACTATGAAGTCCTAAATTTATGAAATACTCTATTGTTTGGATATTTATTGTTATCAAAAAGATACCATCTTTGTCTCAAAAGTATTGGTGAATATGTCTGCTTCAAGTCGTGAAAGTCACTCCAATTTCTCTTTTCATCAGCAAACAAACCACCTGCACATTTGTTTGTTTTTTTTTTGTATTATATCAAAATAGGCGACGACGACGACTTTATTGGGAACATTTGTGAAGCGTTTTCATTCGTTTCCAAAAAGCGCGATCAAGTGCATCGAATTCGATGTCATTTCATTTTTCGACCAGAAATCAAATTTCGAGGTGTTCTAGCACTTCGATAAATTCATAGTGTTCATAGCATGCATGTCTGAGCTTTCATATGCATAGCTTGCACTTCGGTTTAGCATGTTAGAACTTCGAAACTATTCGTGCTGTCTTTATTGTGCCTTTTTTTGTGCGTACATTTCTATTAGACGAAGATTTTGAACTAGGGTTCAGATTTTGATCTGGCGAGGTGATGGATGTCTCGTCGTAGGAGAGACGCTAGAAGAAGCTGTTTTACTGATGAGGAAACTTGTTTCTGCGTGTGATCATCAGGTGTCAGCAACGAATTACTCTATTGCTCTCCCTAGATCTGTCTTCATCCTTAGTTACAGAATATAGACTGACTCAGGATATTCCAGTCACCTACATTACATCTGGTTTTATGGATATATTTGTGTTATTAATTTGGTAGCATCATAGAGAAGACGTTTTAGGAATATAAGTGGTACCGATTCGGCATTACGTCCATCAAAACTAGCGCAGTCTAAATGCGTTTGGTCTTAAATTAGTCTATTTCGATGGTGCATAAAGCGGTTTTCGCAGCTATGTCTGAGAATACCAAAGTGTTAATTTTCATGATGATAGTGGAAAAAACTATATGAATTGTTAACCCTTCCAAACCTCGTTGCATAAATGTGCATTAAAAAAATAAAAAAAGGATAAAGTTCTTGGCGTTGATCAATCGCTGAGGAATGCGCCATGCATTCGACTTCATTAACCATCGTTTGGAGGTGATTGAATGCACATCTGGCCTTCACAATGACTCACGGTGGCCTACTGATGTTTAGAGCCAGTGCTGCTATCCTCCCAGACGGGTCTGATATCAGTTTGCCGACCCCGAAGGGATGGAAGGCTTGGTGAGCCATGGGCGTGGAGGTCGATTCCACGTGTGTGTTGCAGAGCGCCTCCGATCACTGCACCACACGCGCAACTAAATGTGCATTAATCTGTTTGGGTAGGAAAACATCCCAGTTTAAAACATGTGGAGACATTTTTAGTATAAAACAATCCTGCATATATCACCTCTTACCACATCAGAATATGTTGAGTAGAAAAATTCTACCTCAGCAGAACGAAGGCGCAACATCTGCTATATTAAGTTGCGGCGATGATGAAATGGACACATAATTTCCTGCTATGAACACGTATGCGTTATTTCTTCGTGTTTTTATGAAGTCATTCTCAGTAATAAATCATCTTCAGTAGTAAACTGCAAACTTAGTGGTTAACAGTATTGTATAGATGGTCAGTAGTGACTAGTTAGGTAATGTGAGGCTGTGAATATTGTGATGTAGCACTTTTGTCGAATCAGAGATAAACAAACATGAGGTTCAAGAGACATATGAAAAGATATTTCCCGCTTTTAGCACTGTACAAGCAACTATCCTGTTTTAGAAAACTTTATTTAGATACGAGCTGCCCGAGCAGGAATTGATAACCTTGTCATACCTGACGAGAAGGCTATTGAAAGAACATATAATTTCGCAAGAAATACAGGAAATGGTGCTGTTTTTGCACTTATTACTCATGAGGTGCGGAATGTTGCCGAGATGTTAATGTTTTCAAGGTACTGGGGTAAATCCTTCCCCTGGAAGGGATCAGGCTGGCACTGTTATCAATTGGCGAGTCGGAGAACTTGAATGGGAAGCGTGGATGCGTGTTCTGGATCATGCTGTAAGATTCTTCACTACCTACCTGGTTCATTTCGCATGCTTTTGAGTCGCACGGTTTTTTTTATCCTCTTGTAAACAGTTCTTTCCTTAAATTGCTCGGTTTGAGGGTTTTCGTACGGGTCATATCTATCGACAGCCCTTCTTACGTCCTAAGTCTGCGATGGCTCACTCAACCGTCAATAACAGCGATGTAGCAGTGCCTCCGAGTGCATCCGCAACAGGCTTGGTTAGTGTTTAGTATAATTCAATTAAAATAATTTTCCGAAATTTCAATTCCATATTTACCTGTGGAAACTTTAAATTTCCCATGAAATCAATTAAACAGATGAGCTCCCACTATATTGACTGGTAAAAATTGTTCAGTTGTGTTTTGCACTTCCAGGCATTAAACGCCGTACTTTTCTTGGCGTTCTCTGGTGTGGAATGTGTAGTATATTATGACATGTAAAAATGTATATACACCACTGGAACTCTCATTATTAAATGGTTACCATTCTGAAATTCACACGTTAATCAAATTGATTGTTATGCGTGGAAGTTCTCTGTGAAAGTGCTATGTCTTGTTACCGTTTTTCTTGTCTATCCAAAGAACTGCAGCTGCGTTATGTTCTCAGCCTTGTTCAACAATCTCATCTCTCATGCTCAATTTCTTTACTTTCGCCAGTTGACTAGCCATCCTATGTAGAACGGGCGCGTAGGGCTACTTTTCCCCCGCATCTGATACCAACTGATAGTGATCACGATATTCCAGCAAGCCATGAAGCTACGATTGTTTGGGCTTCTTGCCAATTAATCTGGTTTTTACACGTATTTTGATAATAAATTATGCGTTTGTCATATTCTGTATATCCAATGCTTCCTTCTATGTTTTTGGAACACATGCAATTCTTAGCATAGCCTAACCCTGCTCAGTAGCTCATAGAATAAATATCCTTGGCGCATCATTGAAAATATAGGCAACTTCATGCTGATTGCGGTTGAAAACTGTTTATAAATACAAGCTGCGTGGAAGCACATGGTGAACGGACAATGTGAATATCGGGCGACTTTGACGTATGCATTTTCACTCCAGCTCTACACTAAAAGTCTCCTCAATTTATCGTCTTACCGAGGCGAAAAGATGTCCTTAAGGGTCGAATTTCAATTTTCGAGTACAATAGGGTGACTTCTTAACAGCAACGGTCTCAGATTATTTCTATGGAAGCACTTCCACATAGCATTTCTTTGGAAACATACCTATTTTCAACGCTTCTGACACAGTCCTCGACTTTTTGTTGTAAAACATGTTGTGCTCAGAAATCTTTATTCCATACCCTTCAAAGTTTCCATTTAGCATCATTGTAATCTACACTTCTCCCAACGGTTTTCCGCTTCATCGTGGCTAGGTGTTACTGGGTGTCGGGTTACGGTGTACAGAGGGAGATTCATCCCACAGCAGGGTCTCCAAAGCTGAGAAGGAGTCCGGCGTTTCTGTTAGGAAGCTCAACTAAAATTAAACCAATACCAGGATCCACCGTCGTCCAGGTATCAAACTAGTCGCACGGTGGCAAATATCCCTCTGATCTACAGCGGCGACAAGTGCCTGTGGTGACGACGACCTGGGGCAGACTTTGGTCAGGCTGACGCCAGGACTCCAAGGAACCTCGATGACTAAAACATCAAAACTCAGAAAAAACGTAAATTATTCTGGGCCCGCACAACCAATGAAGACGGACCACCAAGTTATCCAGATAAGTAAGTAAGTATAATCTACACTAATTACTTGGAATTTACATTTCTCACACATGATATGTACTTCCTACACAGAGTTTGGGCTTCTGACATATGATACAATATACTGCTTGCAATACACTTTTTCCTTCCTATAGATTGCAACACTGTGGAGGAAATTATAATATCGTTCTTATCTTTCCGTCTGAGCACAATTGTACCACTCCTGTTTTGCTCTGTTGATCGATTGACATCTTCGTTTCTTCTGCTGGATGATCTTCTTGGGGAATCCTGTCCTGTATTACCTGAACACATCAGTCACCTGCTTAGTCCACTGCAGTAATTTTTCACTTAGCGAAACTCCTATGAGTAACACGCTATGACAGATGGAAATAACGTAGAACTTCAGAAATGCGCTGAAATTACAGAAAAACAAATGAATAATCGAATTATAGAACGAAGAGCACTGAAAAGGACATGGTAATTTTTTGTGGTGAGAGAAGGCGGTAGTGCGGCCAAGTCGCATTGATTTCAATGCGCTTCAAAAATTAGACGTCATCTCATGTGTTTGCTACAGTATCTTAGATGTCGTCTTGAATGTGTTGCACACGTGGTCGTCTCTCGTATTATCACTAATGCATCAGACTATGGAAGGAAGCCAAATTTTGGCTACCTTTATTCTTTTTTTTTAGTTTTTGAGGATAATTTGAGGGTTAATTTTCTGTTTTTTCAAATCAGTTTTTTAGTTAGACGAGTCTGATGCAGAAGCGGTAGCCGCGCATAAATTGGCTTTACTACGAAAGGAACAAGAACGGAATCGTTGGCTCAATAGTCCTAACGCATATCAAAAAGTTGAGATTCTTGAGACCGGAACAGACAACCCAAAGAAAATTACGAAGGTTATCTGCTTATGGACTATCGTTGATGTTCACTGTTAGCTATATGTTCTAGTGGGTGCAAGATGCCACTTCTCCATCAGCAAGTGGAACTCCAGTGAAAATCAGCATTCCTCATCATTTCAGCCCACTGTCGAGTAATCCGAAGGAATTTAAGGATAAACAGCGAGCCATTAAGGTCCTTTCATGATATCTTAATACCGAGAGCAGGACTTCAGAATCTTGTTGAAACTCTTTGGTTTGTATTGTAGGAAAGTGGTAGACTTGGCACTACCACTGCTGGACCACAGAGCCAAATTCTTGATGGCGTCACCTATGAAGACATTGCAAGGATGAGAGTCAGTTTGCTACTGTTTCTTGTCTCCTACACTGATGTTTGAAATAGTACGTGTGAAATTTAATGTTTAGCCAGATGTTGATGGCATTGTCGGTCAGACAGATCGGACCGTGCTTATCGGCACAGCAAGCAAAGGAATAATCGAGAGACAGCACCAGCATAATGCTCAGGTTTGCTAGCTAAACTTCCTCATCTGTGGTTACCACTACTTGTTAGTTTGACTTTCCTTACAAACATTCATGTTTTATTCACGACGTTTTGTTTATTTACAGGTGTATCGTCAGTTGTATGCTCCTAATCCATTCGCATGTGAAACTGACGAGGACATAAAGAAGTATATAGAAGAAGTATATTTATTTCTTTTTTCCAGTCGTTCAGTGTGTCTGTGCATATTCACTATCGTTTCTGTTCAGAAACTCTGAAGGAGACCGTGTTTAGACACATGAAAGTTATTCAAATTAACTTAGATGAAGTTTATTCAAATTTTCGCAATGGAGACATCGTTTCATTTTTTTTAAGGTGGAGTTGAAGTCACCGAAATCTCGTACTCCTTGTTCAACTGCTCGCGAGAAGTCGTTAGAGCGGTCTGAAAGGACGTCAAGTCCATTTGAAGAAGACCCTGGAGCAGGTAGATTTAATATGCTGTTTTCATTTTGGTTGTTATATCTGCTTCTATCGGTGCGTGTGGTGCAGTGGTCAGAAGGCTCCCTGCAATCCACATAGGATCGATTCCGGCGCACCTGGCCCACCAAGACTTCCATCCCTCCGGGGTCACAAATTGGTACGAGACTTTTCTGAGAGGATAGCAGCACTGGCTCGATACATCGATAGGCCACCGCGAATCATTGTAGAGGCCAGATATGCATTCAATCACTTCTAACGATGCTCAGTGAAGTCCATTGTATGGCACATTCCTCAGAGATTGATCAGCTCTGAGAGCTTTATTTGTGTTTGCTTTTATTGAGAGGCTAATTGATATAGGAAGTTAGAATAATATTTGGAATTTATTGCAGTAGTCACCAATGAGAACGATATTTTTCTTGAGGACTGTTTTCTAGACACGGCTTCTTTGATGCAAGCTGCTCGTGTCCATCGGAATACGAATAACGTCGTGGCTAGTGTATCATCAGAGGCTCTCGATCTGTTGCCAGATGTTTCGGCAACCACCGAGAAAACAATGACGAACGGTCAGTGCCTGGCTACGCCATTTGATTTCAGTTGTTACTGTTTTATAACTTTTTCTTTGGTTCGTTGCATGTGCTTTTTTGCGTTTTGTGGGCTGCGTTTATCTTCATGCTGCTAGGTTCTGGTGTTTTTTGTCCTTTTAATCGGGTCTAGTGGTTTTGCGTCTCTTTTCAGTGAGGAATGCCCATTCCATGATTTGAATCGCATTTTTTTTTTTACAAAAAAATAGTGTGACAATCGACGTCGATTGTAAGTGTTGTCTACGACTAGTTTCAGTTTTCAGGTTTGAAGCCGCATTTCTGTGGCCTGTCATGTTTAAAAAAACCTATCGAGACCAAACTGTGACAACATTATTTTTCCTCATTTGTGGCCGCGTTGTGATGGAAGCTTCTTTCGTCCCTGTTTTGGTTTCCTGTCTTGCATCCTGCTTATCTTGTTTTTCCTTTTGTGCCATATGCTGTATAATGTGTTGTGATGATTGTTGTGTCACGTGTAGACTTCCAATGGTTTCCGTGGCGGTACGACGTCCCTAGTTTCTTCCGGCGAACAAATAGTGAACGCTTGTCTAGGACTCTTCCCTCTGGTTCGTTTCTACTCTTTCCGTTATGTGGTTAAGTAGATGAGCATGATCAATTTAGTATATTTTCCTAGATTATTTATATTTTCTATCAGCTCCTTGCTAGTAAGCTACTTAGCTACTTGAATTTTTCTTAAAGCTTCAGGGAATTCTTCAGCGAGGTCGAACGCTACTTTGTCAGAGGATGAAGTAAGTTCATTTTTCGTTTTAGCTTTAATATTTATGGATTGGCATAAGCTCCGGCTCGACTTTGCTTCTCATTTAGGCGTCTTCTAAAAGTGAGAGGAAGAAAAAGAAGAGGAAGAGCTTATTTTCGTTTATGAAGAAGAAGGACAAGTCTGTATAATCATAGCTAGTTTGTCGGGCATAACTAGTCGTTTACCATTATTCCATATCTTTTTATTAAGTACTGTTTAGTTTAACGTATTGCCCCTGCTACCTGTGTTTTTCTTATATGCATCTTTGTTTTTTCTTGCAGTGGTTTCTTTCTTTGGAAATTTGTTGTTTCTCGCGTACCTTAGCGTTTCTTTGCGTTACTTTTGAAGCTTGTTTAAGGTTTGGCCAGTCTGGTATGCACGATCTGCAGTAGTTTAGATGCTTTTTATGGAATATCTTGTATAATCCACGTGCTGAAGGCCTTCTAAGCGCAGTGGTATGAGCCGTGTCCACACTGGCCCACTAACCCTACTTCCTCCCTAGGCTTAGGCTTTTGTGTGCGATTTTCCTTTGAAATGTGCTTCACTGATGTGAACGTGAGTAATCGAACTGTTGTTTCTCTATTCCGGGTTTATCAATTCCAGATTTCTTAGGCATTACCGATGCTGCTCTTGTTTCTTCACGTGTTTTCTGTCGCCCATTCGCCAAATATATGATTGAACTATTCTTTATCTTTTCCACTACCTAGCCGATTTTGTTATCATACAAGCTTAGGCTTCACAGTGCTTTTACGGATCTTTTAAATTGGCTCATGTCATTTCAAATGATTTTTTCCTTCTTTGTTGATGATACTTTTATGTCATATGCTAGAAGGTTGTTGTTAAGTTTCCTGTTCCAAGATTTCGATTTATTCTTCTTTTTTTCTCCGTGTAGTTAATGTTGGAACTGTTGGTGCATTTGTGTGCATTCTATGCCACTTCGCAGATTTTTCTGATAAACTTCAGTTTTGTGTTGTTTTAGATTTTATGTGAACTTTGGACGCAAATCACGTCCAACCGCATGTGATATCTCCATAAATCCATGTAGACCATGGTGTTGGGGGATGGCAATCGGTTATTGATTATCGAATAGATCATTATTTTCTTTTAACTGTCACATTCTGGGAACGTTTACTCTATGTATTTTCGATACTTATCGTACATCTTATTTTTCATCGTATATGATGTCATAGAGGACGTTCTGTGCCTGTATCTAGCCCTTGGTGTAGGATTTATGTTCTGAGAGAATGCCAGCATCGGTGGTTCGAAGCACATTATGCGTTGTCTGCTAGAGTTCCAAAGAAGATCTGGGATTTTATCAACGCATTGGTCGTGTATTTTCGTATTATCCACATATAAGCATAAAGTTCCCTTCAGAATTTTCACTTATGAAATCGTTTTTCTTTTTTTGTTTCATACAGGTGGATCATCCTTGATTGCCTCTTGAATGCGAAACTTATTCCGTGAAATACAATGTGTTGTGTAATTGCTGCACAATATAATTTACGTCTATTCACGTCCATTTCATCATGTGAGATGTAAATTAGTCAAATTAGTGCTTCAGTTGGTCTACAGTTCTATAAACTCTCATGGAAACTAGTAGGACTACTAAGTCTGTGTTATCTGTGTATTTATGCCTATTGTTACTTGGTACTTGGACGGCCCGTCATCACTAGTTGTGCGGGCCCAAGCATAATCACCACTTTTCGGAGATTTGCTGGTTAAGCCATTGTGATTCCCTGGAATCCCGAGGTCAGCCTGGCCAAAGTCTGCCCCACGTCTTCACCACCACAGGCAGCCCTTGTGGATCAGAAGGAGATTTACCACCATGCTACTTTGGTACCTGGACAGTGGTGGATCCTGGTATTGGTTTACTCTTAGCTAGGCTTCCTGATGGGAACTCCTCAGCTTGGAAGACCCTGCCGGTGGGACGAATTCCATTGCTGTACATCGCAGTCTGACACCCAGGAACACTTCCCAGCCACGATAAGGCGGTAAACCGTTGGGAGGTATATCTGACTAGGTGTAGAAATACGCTGATTTCTTTGAAGCTCTGGATTCTCACTTGTGGAATCGTCCTAGTCAAACATTGATGGAAGTGCGTAGATCTGCTACTGAAATCATCCATACATAACCTTCGTTTCTATTCATAGCTATGGTGATTTTCTAGTTTTTTCTGTGCTCAAATTTCAAATACTACGAAATTATGAAATTTATAGAATATTTTTTGGTGAAAAGAAAAATCCTGACGTTATGAGCAACAAGATTGCACTGGAGAGCAAACAGAGACTTCCCAGTAAGATGCAGAATATCGTCTGCGACTCAGCGCTTGTAATGCAACATGCAGCTTGTGCAGCTGGATCCAGTGAGGTATCTTTGTCTTTGCCAAATCATTTTTTTTTAACCAAATCTGATACCAGTACGTATCACTTTTAGCTTCATATTCTGAGCATTTATTATGGGGAAGAAATCTTCCACTCTGTGGAGCCCGTGTTTCTAAAAACATGTTCGTCGCAGTCATTTTTCAGCAAAGAGAAACAGTAAAAGAAGAGACGTCATTTTTCCTTCTCTTCAGGCCTTCAGAAATGCGTTTTATTCTTGCTTTGGCAAATTTTCTTTGTTTTTAAAATGGCATTTGCTTTTCGGTAGAGCTTTAACTAGTTCTTTGCTCATCCGCGCAGCTCACATTGCTATGTGAAGAATCTCGAGCAGTCGCAAAGCTATGCGTATGTTCTTAGGCTCCTTAACAGTGTTCAGCGAAGTAGAGAATAACGGATTAACGAGTACACATTGGCCTCAATGCCTTTTCTTTCCACTGTTTTTTTTTGTTGAACAGTGTTCTTTCTCTGCTATACTTTTTGCATTCAGTTGAATTATTTACAAGAAACCCTCTGATAAGCTTTTTGTTCTCACTGGACTGGTATTACTGATAAGGAGAGCACAGAATTTTTCCGTTGGCGAAAGTAACACCGTTGATTGTACTAAGAAGTCTCTGGTACACAAACATGTGTAGCGAGACGTCTAAACGCTTGGACTTATGGATTCATGTAAAGATTGTGCCAATGAAGACAACGCTTGGTGTATCTTTTTTTGATGGAGCACAAGGGACTGTGTGCATAGATTTCAATGCGGTCCTCAATCAGTGAAAAAGTATGCGTCGTATCATGGTACAGGCACCGAAAATTGAGTGTAGCCAATGTATTAAATGTGGACGGAAAGCGATGTCGCATTTATTTTGAGAGGTAGGTGGATGTAAACTATACATTTCTTGTCTGTGTAACTCTGGGTTGACTTGAGTCTTTTATGTTTACACAACCACATTCTTGAGTGCCTTCCTCGTTACATGCAGTTGTTACTTGCAGGTCAATATGGCCAGTACCCTGGCTCAAAAATCACTAGAAAAAAGTGGTGTCGTAGCAAATGTGTGGTGCTCTTTTTGTCTTTTAAGTGAAAACAGCTTGCTGAGCAGTCGCTTAAGTTGTGTAATTAACGGGATTGAATTCATGACAGAGGAGATCAAATTGAAATTTGAAATCGGTGTGGTTGGTTAAAATATATCGTATGCCAGTTGGTTTTGCAATACTACGTTGCTGCCAACGCTGACCTTTGTAGCTTGTTCATTCTCTATTAGCTCATCCTAAAATTGTTGTGAAGGTGTTGAAGAAATTGTGTTGATTACTTTAGATGCTGAATTCGTGTGCGAAGCAGCTGTGCGTTACAGAGCAGTTTTTTGGAGCCACTTTCATGGTAAATGGCTTCTTTTCCTGTGTTTACTTTCACCATAAAATGTTTTCCTGGTTATTTTCAGTCATTGGACAAGTTGGATGCGGCATTAAATGCCATTCAACAGCGGTCTGATGAGGTTGAAAGCAAGTACGTACTTTTTTTTTCGCTGATTCTTAAAATCAAGTTCTGGAGTGTCATTTGTGGTCATGTGCTGTAGGCCCAATCGTATTCAAAACAACTTAACTGGAATAGATATTTGAATTTTAGTCAATAAGCTTCGACTGATTCAGAATGTACCACTAGTAGTTGTATCCACATAAGATTGAAGGTTTTACTGAATAAAATACGAATCCTATTCCTTTTCTTCATAAGTTGAGCTTTATGAGTTTTGTTCCTCTCTGTACATATCAATAATTTCTGCAAGAACAAAGCTTTATGAGAGCACTTACCGTAATCTTCGTTAACAACAAAAAAATTGTTGTTGGTATTGAACTGATCGCCATACTGCAGTGCCTGTCGATCGAAGGGACTAAAGAGTTAGCCCGTTCTTTAGAACATTCCAACCCACTGCTATCGCAACTGTAAGAAGACGATGCAAACTGTTTTTTAATGGTCCTTTTAATGGTTCCGTATTAGAAATGGGTTGATGTACCATACCATAAGCTAGGTCAATTTGATTCTTGCATATTAAGGTCCATACGATTTGTTGCAAATTCCAATCAAGTCCTTATTTTGTGTTCTTCTATCGTTTTTCAAATGAGAGCACTAATGAAGCAATAATATTACCTTGAGAACTCCTAGATGAAGCGTTGAACAGATAACATTACGAAGGAACTAAAAGGAGATTGTTTGGCGAAAACTGTTACAATCGCAGTAGATTGTGATAGATGGTTTTTCATTAACGGTGGCTACATTCTTCCCCTGGGATGTTCAGTAAATACCGGTAAAACATGATACGTGGATTGAACAGGTGTTCTAAAAGGCCGTAGGTAACCTCTTCGTTTTTGGGATGAATAACAAAAGGCGAACAAAAATCTCAAAGCTAATTTGTTCAATTCGAGGTCACGATACTTTCAGCTAGCAGCGGAGATGTGGGTTCTAAGCTGCATGAAAAAATTTGCTCTATGTTCTCAAATTGCGTTAACGGTCTCTTTTGAATTAAAGGATCGAAAACAGACTTGGAATCCACGCTAATTACCATCCAAGTGTGTCCCTTTACCGTGATCTAGTAAATTATACATGGAGGTTTTACGTAAACTTGATACCCCTCGATGATTTACCACTTCACCGTGGTCATGGATTTTCCTGGGTTTCGACAGCACTGTAGAGCTGCAGTCATACATCTGGTACAGCGTTCCAACCTGTGTAAACGTTCGACATTTGCATCCAAGGTATAGCTACATGTGAACTGATGCAAACAATCACCTCCGTCCTGAAGCAGTCTAGTCGTAGGCTTGAAAATTTCCCTTAGATTCACGGACGACGATTTCGTAAAGCCATATCGCGACTGTCTTGAAGCTATACGGAAAGGAAATATTGCCCAACGAGCGGGCTACCAGTCAAGCGAATATTTTGCTGCATCTGCACAATCATTCTTGAAGATACGCAATTCAGATATTCAAGTAAGTAATTTAACTTACTGTGGCAACAAATGGGCACTACTAGAGTAGAAAGCAAGTCATATTGATTATCACCAAACGCTTTTACACATTATTATGAGTGGTAGTGTAAAAATATGTGCAGATACAATACAGTGTTGAGTAAAATGTTTATTTCGGTAGCAATTTAGAAGTCTAGAATAATACGCAGTACCCGAGTTTATTACATACAGTATGTTGGACTTTCGATACTTTAGTCGTCACAACTCGTTGGTGTGATCGAAATCGAGAGCTACGTGAAGCAAAACACGCTGCCGATAGATTCGACACAGAAATACGCGGGTCTACTCGTAAAGGGTTACGAATGGTTACTCATGATATGAGAGATGGAGATCATCAACATTACCATGCGCAATTTTTATTCCTAGGAAATCCGCTCGCTGAAACTCGTTGCTTTGTCATAAAACTGCACTGGCGTACATCTCCTGGAAGAGTCGATTTCTAGTAAAGAATGCACTATGGCACAGATTTCGTCATTTGTCGTTTCCGGTAGTGCCGGTGGATCATAGGCGTCATAGTTGGCACATGCTGTGTACAAAAACAGTTTGCACAAACTACCCTCATCGAATGGTATCTGTAACGAGTGATAGTAAAGTTTCTTGATACTCTGAACCCGAGAACCGCTATCAAACAAAGGAATGATGTGCATTAATAAGCTTTTGGATGTTAAGCTCTTTAAAAATGTGCAGGAAATAGGAGAGGATTATGCGTTGAATATTGCTTCAGCAATAGCTACTTCCTATGATTTCATATCAAATCTGAAATGCTCTTGCAATGCTAAGTATATGTAAAGAATGTTTTCCAGTTTGACTTCGACAATGTTATCGACCGATATTGACTTGTCGAATAATCTCACCTCTCCGGTGATGCACTGGTACAGTAGGCATCCTATGCTCCACATATCTACCTTGAAGTCGTATTGGCATGTTTTCAAGAGATTTGCTCCCACTTCTGGTGCCATGTAGAACAAAGTGCCAGCTACATTGCATAAGTCCGATTCCTCGTTTTCCAAGGTTCGCGCGATGCCTAATGAACATAGGATTATCAGGTTATTACATCAGGCATTCATGAGATCGCCAAAACCCACCGAAATCCGTAATTTTTGCAGACAAAAGCTGCTTACTCTTTCCGACGTATTTGATAAGAATATTTTGTGGCTTAATATCGCGGTGGACTATTTTCAAGTCAAACAATCCTTTATAGCCGCGCGCGACATTATCAATAATAAGTCTAAACATCAAACAGTATGTTTGTATTTAAATACATGAGCCTTCACTTTCTAAACAACCTAAGGTTGACGCTATTAAGACGCCCATCGTTCGAGTTATTCTTCATGTGGTACTCTAAGTCGCCATCGCATAGCTCCATGATAAGCCAACAAGTAACATCATCTAACATGCATATGTCCATTACTCCCACTAAGTATGAGCTATTCAAGGACCTGGAAACGTAGAACATCGGAGTTATTAGTGGTTTTTTTTACGCTTTTTGGAACAAAGACGTTTTAAAGAAGACCTACCTAATTACCCGAAGTTCATTTTCCTTTACGTGTATTTTTGACATCTTCTTGATTGCCACCTGAACCAAATCAACCCTTATGGTTCAAGATTTGTACAATGGGTCACAAATAAGAGTGTAAACTCACTTTTTTATCATCACTAACAGTAAAACCTTTGTAGACAACTCCGAAAGATCCTAGTCCTATTAATGATAGTGGTGAATCGTGGAATGCATATCCGTTAGGAAGTTGTACGATGTTATTCGTGAATTCTAAGGCTGATGTAGAGATGGATCCTTGAGGAGTATTGCTATGTGTTAGAACCATCTGTAGGTGCAGCATATATACTAAGGATTATTATGCACACCATAGTAAAAAGACATGCCAGCACTGAATACTTTTACTACGGCAACGAAGACAAATGCAAATTTGCTCCGATCTATTTGTACGCGAAGTAGTTATGAAAACCAACTTTAAGGAGTGAATTTGAGTTGAAAAACTTATGCTATTTCGCAGCGTTCTTCAAACTTATTTCCTTCTGTAAATCTGTTCAGTGTTAACGTGGTTATGAGGACAAGCACATGTAATCGAATGAAAATAGATTTTGACTCTTCAAGATGTGCCGAACTGGAGTTTCAAAACCGTTCACGGCTGAGATGCGTCCTGAGGTTGATTGAGTAAGTAACGTAAAAGAGGAGCGGAGAAAAAGATCGATGAGACGTGACTGGCAGCAGTAGATTGCAGGTCTTTTTCTTGGTAGAAATGATGGAGGCATGTGTGAACGAGTACAGAAACCCTACCCTATCGATGATGTGTGGGACGTAGAATGCCGATATTTCACGGATATGAGTAGCTGAAGGGCGCGTGTGATGTAGTGGTTGGAGGCACCACTGCGACACACATGTGGAATTGATCCCTGCGCCCATGGCTCACCAAGCCTTCCATCCCTCCGGGGTTGACCAATTGGTACCTAATTTGTCTGGGAAGATAGCAGCACTGGCTCGATACATCGGCAGGCAACTGTGAGTCATTATAAAGGCCAGATATGCATTCAATCACCTCCAACGATACTTAATGAAGTCGAATGCATGGCGCATCGCTCAGGGATTGATCAACGCCGAGAGTTTTTTTTATGAGTAGCTGGAGATTTTCGAAGCGTTGGCTTTCACCAACTTTCATCCGGATATTATGTATGGAAAGAGATTGATTAAATGGAAGTCTACTTTAGAGCACTGCAGGATGCACATAGAATAAGCACAACATGTGAAAGACCATGCAAATCGATTTTCTGCTAAGGGATTGGTATCACCAATGTAATTAGTACAAAAACGAATTACAAGTATACGGCCTTCTTCAAGATCATCAGATGTGACTCTCTGTTCCTACATAAATAGTATGACAGAGTCTACTATCTACTTCTGTTGTAGTTATCAGTGATGCAACCGAAGATGAAAAAGAAAGAAATGCTTTCATTAATCTTACTTAAACATATGAGAGAACACAACAAATTTGGCAAAAATGGAAACTCTGCCATGTAGCTGATAACAGGATCGAATAGCGTTCATTCTTACGGAATCGTCCATTCACTGGTGATGAGTCCACTAAGCGATTATCAAGTTTCTATTCCTAGTGAACGTCATTGCTTGTACCTGTTTTGCACTTCCCCACCAACCAGCATCTTCGTTTAATATTTGTTTCGTAAAAAAGTGGTGACTGAACTTTGAAATGAGACGGAGACGGTCCAAGTATGAGTAATTTGCGCGCCAGTTGTAGATAATGTTTCTAGACACTAAATTTCTATAGATAAGAACAGCTGTAAGCAGTGAAGGTTAACGGTCTCATTTGTAAGTCAAATGAGACGTACGACATATGTTAAGTGGTATGACAAACAGTGGTTCTCGTTCTCAAGCGCTTTTCGTTGAAGGCGTCCAGAAAAAACCATCAAAAATACGTACTTTTTCATTCTACTGTAGCGAATGGCAGAAAGGAAAATAGTTCTTAAGCGATTTTTGTTGTCTAAAAGAAGGAGAAAAACTGTCTCTGGGGCACGATTGACAGTGGATATCTGTACCCGAAAGGAAGTTAAAGTGAAGTGCTAAGGTACACTGTTTTGCCATCATAGAAAGTTTATATCGTATATCGAATGTGAAATGACACCTGGATTTACCTGTGCTCAGTGGGATACATAGATGGTTCAACAGAGGATCAACAGTGTATCAACAATTCAAATAGGAATTAATGGCTAGAAATCCGCCTGTCTTCTTCAAAACACGTATATTCGCTACCTAAAGTAATTGCGTTTATCGATCCGTCATGAATCATTGCTGTTTGAAAGCTAGTGCACGTGTTACAGACCTCGTCAGTAGTCTAAATACTTGTAGTTTTCGCTATTCGAATGTCTGAAGATGAACTGTATTCTGCTTAACAGTTGAATATATAATATCTAGTTATTGGACTATTTCGAAATCGAAAGCACTAGGGGAGATAGGGTAATAATTCACGATCGGAAGTGTAGAAAACCGGAATATAATTCAGTATTAGAGAAGATTTGAGTGAACTTTGAGAAAAAAACGACTATGTACAAGAATCCACACTTTGTTGTGAGAAGTGGAAATCCGAAAGCGAAACAAAACGAGAGAACGAATGCGAGAGGGAGCGCGATGTAGGTGGAAAGCGAGAGAGCGCAACGGGCTCAGCAATCCGCGCAATCAATGCATTCCCGGAGAGTCGCTGCGGTGTTGTCTGGTCGGGCCTCTGGACTTCAACTCTAGCGGTTTGGATCCATCCAAGCTCCAAGCAAAGCTTTTATCGATGTGCTGCCCGGTACCCGTTCAATTCTTACCCCGTTAATTCCAAGTTTACTATGCCGCTTAAAGACGTCGGCGAACGTAGACACATGGTCAGCGTTCAATGCAAGGATTTGAGTGGTCTGTTTCCAATCTCAGAGGGTTTTAAAGATGATATCCAAACAAATCACTTCCTTAGTCAAGTAGTATTTTTTCACTTGACGTACTTGACGTATGTGGTGGGACAACATGAATGATGGAATTGTAAAGAAAATTGGAGATATTGAAAATGAGTTTTTTTAAAGGCGAAGTCAGGGTGATTAGTTCTGTTATGAAGAGTGATGCTGTTGTAATGCCACCGTAAATGCCAGGGATGCCAGTTTGAGGATTTTATGCCGTGCATTAACTAGATTGAAAGCGCGTGGTCACTGTGCTGTTATACCAGAAATTGTAAGGAAAATTGGAATGGCTCATGAGGAAAGTGTGATGCTTTCGTTTTTTTTTTGTCTTTTTTCTCGGGGTAATTGAACCATTAGGCTGCTCTGTCGTGCGAAAAGGAAGGTTGGTTACTTCGATAGTGTTCACTATAGCCACTCAGTGGTCAGCAGAATTACAAGCGTTATGGGTGGTATATGGACTCGTGTGGTTTTTTTTAGTAGCTGAATACAAATCTCCTTATTTTGTCTTAAATTTTAGAAATCTTCGAAAACCATTTTTCTAGTTTTTTCCTGAATCCATAAATTCTGGCTTGGGAAAGTTTTCACTAAGAATTATGTTTATGTGGAGCGCAATGTACTACCATTGTGAAGGTGATTCCAAGGTGATGTTGCAGGCACTTACTATATCCGGCGTGGGAGTGCGATGTTGTAATCGTTTCTTGTTTTCTTTTTTCCTGATAAAGTAAACAGCAACTAGCTATTAGCTACTAGAATTGGTAGCTGCTATTCTTGGTTTTCTCAGTAGGTCGCTGGTTGGTCTGTTCTTAAATTGGTTTTTCTCAAGCGTATGCTTCATATTTGTAAAAAAGGTAAATTAGGGTGTGGAAAAAAAATAGGAGGTTGAATTATAGGTTGGAATCCACATAATTGTAACTAAAAATTTGGCTGACGTTATAGCCAGTGACTTAAGGGGAATGTACAACAACAAGCACGTATGGTTTTTCTTGCGTGCTAGAAAATTTCAGCGGTCCAGGCATAGGTTAACATTGTGAAGATCAGTTTTTCTCTACTACCAGCATTGTTTTACTTGTTACACATTCAAAATAGCATGTATTGATTTCGGTCTATACGTGGCCAACAATGATTAAGCTTTCCAGCTTCAGACGCACGTATCTCAGCTTATAATGAATTATTGTTTGCAGTGGAAGTCGTGGTAATCTTCACATTTTTGCCAACATGGTACCAGTTTCATAACGATGAAATTCTAGGCTACTGGTGTCCAGGGAACACTTTTTCGCTTTTTTCCGTTGAAGCTTGAACTTCGAAAAGTAGAGGGAATTGAATAACAGCTTCAATTTCGTCGAGTAAGGTGGTAATTGAAAAGTAGGATAGTGCAAGAATAACTTCAAGAAATCTATATGCTCTATAGGCAGAGTGGAGTGGTTGGTTTTACACATTGGCGACAATACGCGTCATATGCGATAAACGAACCCGAAAATAATTGCCTCATTCGAATTTAAACAGTTGTGTGTCTAAGCCGATAGTTAGCCGATAGCCGATAAGCCGATAGTCATTATTTGAGGTAGAACGCTTTAAACTGTATAGATGTTAGCAAACAATGTGCAACTTTTCTTATTCCTCATAGTTGGAAATCTGGTTTTTCTGTGTGCATGAAACCTACTTTGTTCAATGGCCTAGTCTTTTAATCTACTGTCTATTCGTTCTTCATGGCTTGGTTGCTATGTGAAGTACAACCACAAGAATGCTGAGATATGAGCAATATTCAGGACTTCAGATGGTCTTCGAACAAACGATTACCCTTACCAAGGTTAACATGCTATCCACCACACCAACCTACACCCTTGATTTGCTTTCTTCTCAGCGGATTTTTCAGTCTACTTTATCACTGTATCATCTTCTTTATGATGCATTTCTTATTTCTATAAAAGATACACTTAAAGGATTAGTCGTGTTTCTGAAATTTATGGTATCACTGATGCTTTATTTTTGCTTTATAGTAAACAGTTTTTTAAATATCGGCGTCTATTGAACTAATTAGTCGATCATGATTTAAAATACCTTTGTTCAAGTCAGTATCTTTGAAGTAATATTTCTAACCACTTTAATATAAAGGCCTGAAACTGTCGCTCTTGTGCGTAGTATTTATATTTTGATTTGGAACTTTGTCTAGTGTTGTTCTCTCTGTGTGTCGAATGAGTCAAATAGCTACTTTTCCAATATTTTCTGTCCTCATATATTTCTCCTAATGTACAGCAGGAAACTTTCACAACCCGAAGCCTTGCAAGTGTTGTTCTCATCTTCAATTTTACGTGTGTTTCGTATTCTTGCTTACCTCTTTGGTGTGTGCCTAGTCCCTATTGTT